AACAACGCAACGGGTGGGTGCAGCAGGGGGAGAAGGAGTATAGAATAATAGTATATTTTCCAAGGGGGGGAAATCACTGGCGAAAATCAAACAGGCGAGTGCGGAAATGACAGCCGTTGACGTCTAATGGAAAACGTGTGCGGGCATAAAAATGGCCGCTAAGAAAATGCATAAAAATGTGCGAAAGCAAACACACACAGGACTTAGACATACACACACACACACACACACACACACGCTTGCTGCTGGCCATGTGCGAAAGGACATGCAAAGGACAAACGGAAGTCACATACGCAAAACCAAACTTCGCTTATCGTCCACGACACAAAGTTACTTTTGCCCCAAAGTCTATAAAATATTTTTATGCACCAGAAACCGATTCAGATTCTGACTTGGGCTACACTCAAAAAAACCCAAAGTGTTGAAATTCTTAATTTCGCCAGGGACAGCTCACCTTATTATTAAGAAAATGGGAAGTAGAAAGTAGTAGAAAAATGTGTTTTCCTCAAAACCATTTTTGTTTTTCTTTGATTTCTGCGTAGATTTTAGTAAAATTGGAAAAAATATGTTTAAGGTAAATAATTAAATTTCCCAATAAAATAACATCATTTTTAAAATACATAGAACAACCTTACTAATTCTTGGAAGCTTGTCCTATATTTAGAAATTATTTCTGGTAAGCAGAAAATGGTTTTATGCCTTTTTTTCTTGAGTGTACAGACGAGCTGCCGGCTCCAACTGGAGCATACCTACGCGCAAATGGAACGGGGACTTGCGAATCAGCATGGGAAATTGTTTACACAAGTCATAAGCATTTTTTAGCAAGCCAGGCCAACGTTGTCTTGGCCCTCTTGGCCGTCTTAACCAACTTGGTCGTGGTCGTCTGTTTGCCAGCGTATAAACGCTTGGCATTTGCATAAACCTTGCCAGCAGCAACCAGGACGAACAGGACGACCCCGAGTTTAAGCCACACGAGCTGTGCGAGTGGCGACAACTTTTTGACAACTGCAATAATCATAACTGCAGCGCTCGACATTGATTTCTAATGCGAAGATTTGGTATCAAGATTTCTGAGGGCCACCGCCAGGCGCCATTAATGGCTTTGTCTTACAAGTCGTTTCGAGTCCTGCTCCTCTACTGCTATCCTGTTCCTGCAAAGTGTCCGTTATTCCACTTGATTTGAATTTGGCAACGAGCTCATAAACCAACTAAAGTTTCAACTGCCACAAAGCGCGTAACTTTAACGCTTTAGTTTTATGTCAATGGACACAGCTCACCCAGTGGGTCATCAAATTACCAACAAAAAAAGAACAAAACTTGAAAAAAAGAAAAACAAAAATCGAACATTGAAATTGATATGGCCTAAAAGGTGGTGCTGTGCCTACAACCATCAATTTCAGCAATCAGGGATCCTGTTTTGAGTACTGTTTGAGCAATTTTTGTGTGCTTATCTGCACATTGTCTATACACTGTCAGAAAATGCAGCCCTCCTCAAAGAGAATTATTAATAAATTGGCCGAGTTCCCAAAACACAGGCAAGTATGCTCTAATCCAGAGATCTCTTTTGGGAAATACATTAATGATCTTATTTAATAAGTATACCATTTATTTATTTATAAATTAAATGAAATCCAGCAAAAAAAAAAACCTGAAGACCCTTGCTCTGATAATTTCTGAGATCTTCTTATTCATACAGATGGACAGACGGACATGATTAAATCGATTCGGTTGATCATTTACTTTGCTTTCCTCTGCCTGTTAAATACTTTTCTACCACTTTATACATTATATATATACATTATACCCTTTATACCCATTCTTATCTCATCTCCTTAATTTCACTAAAAAATTATGCTCTCAATATAAAATCATCATCTAGAAAGTTTCAACGCTTTTTGGAACAGCCCTTATGACGTGTAATCGATGTCTGCCACTAAAATAAATAATATTTGTTGTTGTTGATTTTCTATTTTCGATTTATTTTTCTTCTTTTTTTTTTGTTTGTTGTTTTTCTCATTTTAGGTTAAACGACATTTTGTACCGTGACATGTTTGCCTGTTGTCGTCGTTTCTGATTTCGATCCGATTTTTGTACTGCTTGCAGATGATTGATGACACTTAATTGATGAACATGCAGCAGAGGGGCGGTGTAGGGGTAGGAGGGGAACGCTTAATAAAAGCGACTTATCGTAAACATTTGCACTTGGCCCAGACAACCAAATGACTGACTGACTGACTGACTGACTGGCTTTAAGTGGATGCACTCGTACAAAAATAACCCCAAATTGTAGTAAATGGTTAACAACCCTATTATTCAAAAGTATATATATCAAACTTAAGGTTGCGGCTTTCTAAAAACCAGAGTTAGGTTTTCTAAATTTCAGCGTGGATTTTACTAAAACGAACAAAAAAAAAACAAATTGGCATTATTTTTTATGTGCGTACGTATAGAGGAAATTCTTAAATAAGTTTCTTATTATTTATGTGATTATTAAACACTTTTTTACACAATTTTATATTTATAATATAATATGATTACTTCATAAAAGGCAAGCAAGTAAATTGCATTACTTTCTGAATTTTAATAAGAATTTTTTCTAAATCGGTTTGCATTTGAACTCTTCACAAGTTTTTAATTATATAAAATATTTCTTAAAAATAAAAATCAACATATTTATGTGATTTGTAAAATTCAGAAATTATTTCTATAAAATAAATAAACTTTATTAAAACTGAGGACGATTTTTTCTCAGTGCGATGGTGGTTGTGGTGTTGGTTTTGGTGGTGTTGGTGATGCTATTGGTCAGCAGCTTTCAGCTTAAATGCTGACCAGCTGTACAGTCGAAAGAGAGAGAGAGATAGAGAGTGAGAGAGATAGAGATGACGACGGCGACGACGACGACGACGACAACGACTAGGACTAGACATTTTCCAGGTCACAGGTGCTTTTGTTGTCCGCATTAGATTTGCCTCTGACATTTGGCCACACACACAAATCTCTCCGTGTCTACTCCTCTCCCCCTTTTGGCCTTTTTGTTTGGCCAAAGTCTGCCCATTTGGCTGTAAAATTTATTTCATTTGCCTAACCCCGCTGCCCCTTCTCTGCCCTATCTGCGTCAGTTGCCGCCCCGTGTCCACTACACGCGTGACGCTGACAGTTTTATGGCAAAGTTAAGCCGATATCAACGGCAGGACACATGCCGTTGCAACATGGCAAAACCACTCCACGCACTCCCTCCAAGCATCCCCTTAAAATTGCAAAATTTAAAACCCCTTTTTTGTTGTTGGCAATACCTTTGCCAACAAACAAACAACAAGTTGGCCTTGCATTGTGTGCTGGTATTTTTGTATACAAAAAGGTTTTTAGGTTTTCCACAAAGCCTTTCAATGAATTCATTCATGGTTAAAGCAGATAACAGATTGTCACATTCCACAGTCCACAATTGTTCTTGACTGCTCGATGTCAGTTCAGCTTTAGTTGCAGTGAAATATATATTATTTGTAAAATTCCCGCTTGTTAAACTCAAAACTCGCAATTGCGCCACGGCATACAATTAATCAGAATTTAGAAAATAGAAGTTGAACAAGCAGCCAAAATAAATTACTTATTATCAAAAATATTTTTCGTTCAGATACCAACTAAAATTTGAAAAGTTTGCACTCCACAAAAGTAGTCAACAAGCACTGTGGTATATATATGCTAAGGTGTATTTTTATTTGCATTAGCTTTTTATTTTATTTTTTTTATTAAGCTTTTCACATATACAAATTTTCTTTCAAGCTTATTAAATTATATTTGGTCGACTTCCAATTGCAAGTAAAAAAGATGTCTAACAACTTGGGTATTTTATTTTTCTCTGTACACAAAATTCTTAACTTGGCTCTTTATTTTCGATTTCTTAATACTTAATAATGTTGCTGAAATTATATATGATAACATTTTTTGTTTAGACATCTTCATTGTCTAAAAACGAGTTTGAATTTGTTGTTATTATACACAGAATTCTTATATTAGTTTGTTTTTTTTTTGTTTTCCACATTTAAAAATATTTTAAGGTCTATATGCTGAGGGTCAGAAAACACAAACTACACAGATGCCCAATAATAATGCAATAGAAGTTAGCAGTTATCAAATATCCCTGTAGAAGTAATGAAATCAGACTGCTAGCAGACACTGTATTCCACCCCTTCCCATATCTATTGATATTACTGATAAATTGTATATCCCCTTTACTTTCCTACATGTTTCTAATGGACTCCCTGAGAACCATATTTTTGGCTCATTCTCTATCACTTGCATCTTCAGTGTCTAAATACTCGTAATATTTAGCCCTAATCATTCTGGACATTTTCCTCGTTCTATGATAACGATGTCATTAGCTGGTTGACTTAGTTCATAAACGTATAAAAAATAGTGAAAAGATTTTCTGATTTTTAGAGATAGTTTCTAACTATGCGAAGAAAAACATTTTTTAAATTGAAAGGGCTTTTTTCATTAAATGTGTATTTGTTTATCTGGAAATATAATTTAAAACATTGGTTTTTAACAAAATTTAACCTTGGATTTTTTTAATTTATATTCTGAATAATAAGATATTTTACACGTGATGCGAAATTTTCTAGCTTCAGCGATATTTTTACCTAAGCTTAACAGGTTAATACTAAATATAACCACAATATAAATTTTGGATACAACAACTTACCCAAGAGCTCTTGCTTTTCATTGCGTATTGCCGACTGTTGTCCCACTGTGCGTACCTCATTTGATATGTTTGTTTTCATTAAAAGTAAGCGCTTTGTATTCGCTATCAATACGCCGGATTGCTTCGCCTCGCTTATCAAATTTTTAAACATTATAGTATGTATTCTACTGTTTGGCCCAACTTCGAGTATTTTGGAAAGTGGCAAATAGTTGACAGTGGGAACTGGCACGTAGACACCTCAAGACGTGGCTCAAAACAAGATGAGGCTTCGATTATTGGCCGCTGCTCTATTCTTGGTCAATTTGGTCAGTGGCCAAGATGAGAAGAGCCATTGCACCTCAATAGCGGGAATGACGAATCTGCTTCACCTCGAAGCCCAACTCATTGACAATCTCAGCAACTATGCAGATGAGCTGGAAAACAAGCTGCTCACAGTCCGCGGGTGAGCTTGAGTTAAAATGCACTCCTTCATTTTTAGAAAAAATATTTCTCAATCGTTGAAGTTTTCAATTTCAAATGAATTTAAAAACTCTCTGAAATCGTTGTATTTGAAATATATTAAGTAAAAGTTAATGCTAGAGTTCCTTGTACACCAATCGAAAGAACAATTTAATAATTAGACACTTTTTTTTTAAATTTCTAAAAATGTACCCTGATAATAAGAAAAACCTTGGTTAAAAATATACTTTCTGAATAGAAAGCAAAGTTTTCATTGGCGCCAAAAGAAAGTTGAATTTTTAAAATTTAAAATCTTTTTTTCTGCGTGTAGTAATTAATCCAAGTTGAGTTTAACAATTTTAGAGTCTCTCTTTAGTTATGTGACAGAAATGCGTGCAGCAAGCAGGAAAGCGCAGCAGGATTCAGTGGCTCATCTGTCGAATCCACTAAATTCATTTTCTCTGATACGTCGCATGCACGAGGATTGGATACACTGGCAGAAATACATGAAGCAGCCGGTGGGCCAACAGCAGGTGAAATACCTCAATGAGCAGCGGGAGCAGCTGCCCAGCAGCACCGATCTCCAAGAAGCGGCTGAAGCCTTGTATCGCATCCATGTCACTTACGACCTGAAGATCTCCGACATGGCCAAGGGACTGCTCAATGGCAGACAGTACAAGTGAGTACACTCAAAGAAAAAAGTAAATATTCAACTATAGAGCTGTGATCATATCAAAAAATATGTATCTCTCTCGAATAGCACTTACTTATTCATACTTGTTCAAACTTGGCAAAATTAATAATCTCTTTGTTTCTCAGAGCGCAGCTTGCAAAACTAATTACCAAATGATTTTAACTGAATTGCTTTTTGATTGCTTTTCACACAGTGTGAGCTTGAGTGCCTTGGACAGCTATGCGCTGGGCAAGTTCCTGTATGATCAGCAGATCTTTGAGGATGCCGGTAATTGGATTTACCAAGCGATCAACTGGCTGCAGAACAAGCAAAACGTTCTGGCCTTGCCACTGCAACTGGATCAAGCTGAGTTGTTGCAGGTTTATGCCGAGGCACTTATCAAGTTGAGTGAGTATCGCAATGACAGCAGAGTTGCCACATAACTTGACCAATTTCAATTGTCAACCTTAGAACGATATGCCGATGCCCAAAAGGTGCTTCAAACTGCGACGACCTTAAAAAAAGATAGTTTCAAATTGCTGATACGCAAATCGGAAGTGGAAACATTGATAAGAACGGAGCCGAATGCTGTGCCCAAGCTGGTAGGTGTGCACTCTAACAAATTGCCACTCAATCAATCAAATGCTCCATGTCTTCTCTGTAGATTAAAAAGCGAGTTGGGGGCAAGTACGAGAAGGGTTGTCGGGGCCAATATGCCCCCGCAACTTCGTCTCGGCTACACTGCGTCTACAATAGCACAAATTCAGCATTTCTGCGATTGGCTCCATTGAAAATGGAGCTGCTTCAACTTGATCCGTATATGGTGCTCTATCACGATGCGATCTCGCCTCGTGAGATCGAGGATCTGCAATTTCTAGCTATGCCCAGGCTGAAACGCGCCAAGGTCGTCGATCAAGTGACCCACCGCAATATGATGGTCAAGGAGCGCACCTCAAAGGTTACCTGGCTGGGGGACGCAACCAATGCATTCACAATGCGCCTCAACAAACGCATCGAAGACATGTCTGGCTTCACAATGTACGGCTCGGAGATGTTACAAGTGATGAATTACGGTCTGGGCGGACACTATGCTTCACACTATGATTTTTTGAATGTGAGTACTTAAATGGCATTAATAACTCATCTTATTATTCAGAAAGTATATAAAATAGAACTGTAACATTATCTTTTGGCTGCTTCTATTGTTATTCATGAACATGAATATTTTTTGATTGCACATAGACAAAGATAGTCTTAAAACTCATTTAGTTAAATTCATATTATTTGCTTATGAATTTTGTAAAACTCAGTGCAATTTTCTAACAATATAATTTTTAAACAATTATTCAATTGTAGGCTACGTCAAAGACAAGACTCAACGGAGATCGTATTGCTACAGTTATGTTCTACGTGAGTCGTCAGATAATATCAAATCTCGTTCAATACTATATAATTATATATATGTAGCTCTCTGATGTGGAACAGGGTGGCGCTACAGTCTTTCCCAAGATACAAAAAGCTGTCTTTCCCCAACGAGGAACAGCCATCATATGGTACAATCTAAAAGAGAACGGAGATTTTGATACAAACACTATACATGCCGCCTGTCCCGTTATAGTTGGCTCCAAATGGGGTAATTATCATATATATTTATTAATGTCCACAATCACTATACATATACATTATATTTCACAGTGTGCAACAAATGGATACGTGAAAATGAACAGATGTTTAGAAGGCCGTGCTTAAAGCAGTGAAAACTCTCGAAGCTCGAAAAAAATGAATATCATTTATTATATATATATAGCTCGATAAGACAAGCATTCAACTTTGATAACAGACACTAACAAGAAATCACCAAATGCTTTGCTTTGCTTTGGTTTCTTCTTTTTTCAGAAACTCAATACGCCATACAAACCATCTGATAAGAAGTGATTAACTTGCTGAGAAAGTGAAAACTAGAATGTTCAACTACCATATAATAATCTAACAATCAGTTCAATCAATTTAAAATGCTCTTGCTCGACTGGTGGATTCTCTATTCGCATTGTTTGTGAATAGGATATTGAAAGTATTAAATATAGTATACTAAGTATACGAAAGCAAATACTAATCGTTTGTATTGAAAGGTTTACAGCTACTCCCAGAAAAAATACGCAATGAAATTTTGAAAATCTCAAATGAAAATCGACCTGCAAAAATGTTAAAACTTTCTGTACTTTAGAAATGAATTCACTTTTAGAAACAATTTTTATGCTTACAAAAAATTCTTGAAATTTAAAAGTTTTTTTTTCTTATTTTAACAATTTTTTTTTATTTATTATAATACAAAAAATTGAAAAAGTTGAAATGGAACTAGAAAAAGATTTTTAGAGAAACACAAACGATTTAGAAATATACTTTCTGAATCATAAGAAGAGCTGCTAAAACTATCACAATTTTCTAATTTTTAATGCGATTTTTTTTCCGAGTGTAGAATCTTATTTCTACTACGCTTTGAATTAAGCTTTATTTAAAGTAGATAATTATCAAATCATAGTAAACTTCGACTTGCCAATCGAAAAAGGTGTATTAAAGCATATTTCTAAGACATTGACAGCTTTAAGTTCCAACAATGTATTCGATTATATTCGCTTACATTGTGATCGCCATAATCTTGTGTCCCATCAAAGCACAAGATGAACCCATCGAGGAAAGCTATTCAACATCAGTCTCGGGAATGGTGAATCTGCTCCTGCTGGAGGCCAAACTCATTGAAAATCTCAACAGCTATGCGGATGAGTTGGAGAGAAAGTTGAATATACTAAAAAGGTAAGTAGCAAAGTGGGACTTGATTTATTTTTAAACTATAGCTAATAATTTTCTCAGTGTGGTTCCACGATTGCGCGCCGAAAGCGATAAGGCCATGACTCAAATGGAGGATTATGTTTCGAATCCTTTGAATGCCTTTTCACTGATGCGTCGCATGCATGAAGATTGGACAGATTGGAAGATATTCATGGAGACACCAGTGGGTCGTTCGCATGCCACTTTTATAAATGAGCACAAGGCACAGCTAACAAGTCCAACTGATCTGGAGGAGGCTTGTGAGGCAATACATCTTCTGCAAGATGTGTACAACTTAACAATTGGGGACATGTTCAAGGGATTGCTCAACGGAACGCAGTACGAGTGAGTGATATGTCGAACACTCCTGAGAATAGTCCTAAAGAATGTCATCTGCAGCACAAGTTTAAATGCTCTGGACTCGTATGTGTTGGGCCAACACTTGCACAAGCATAAAAATCAACATGGGGCCAGCGAATGGTTTGCGGAGAGCAGCAAGTGGCTCATGGATCATTCTCTGTCCACTCCAATCGGAGCTGATCCAGTTAAAATGTTGCATCTCTTTGCGAGCGCATTGATTAACTACAGTGAGCACATCGTACACTCAGAAAAAATTGAAATTCAAAAAACGCTTTAGAAAATATTTCTAAAAAGTAGATTTACAGAAAAAAAGGCATATAATAAAAAAGGTAATGTAAGTTGCAGTAGTACACAGAAAACAAAAACCTTTGGAAATTAGACATTTTGCAATATTTAGAAAATTGCATCCTCTAATTAAAAAATGCAAATCCAGGTTTTAGAAAGGCCCAATTAAATTTGTCAAATTAGTATTCCGAATAATAAGGTGAGGAAACCCTCGCAAATATCTAAAATTCAGTATGATTTTTTTCTGAGTGTATACCCAACCGCCTTGAAAATAATACTAAAGTTTGGTTTATTTAGAGCAATACTCGATTGCGCTGGCAATTTTGGATCATGCACTGTTGATGGGAAATAAAACAGACAACCTACTGAATAAGAGGGCTGAAATCGAGAAACTTGCCCGAGTTGAGTCCGAAATAAACCCCAAACCCATGAATATTACTCCTTACTCTATGGGTTGTCGCGGTCAATTTGCAATCCAATCAAGTCTCTACTGCAAATACAAGTTCAAAACATCCCCATTTCTCCGCTTGGCACCACTCAAAAAGGAGGTTCTAAATCTGGATCCATTTATAGTGCGATACTACGATGTGCTGTCGCCAAGTGAAATCAACGAGCTGCAGGAACTCTCCCGGCCTCTGCTGAAGAGGAATAAGGCTTACGGCTATGGAAAGTATGTGGTGCGAAAGACACGAACCTCAAAAGGAGCCTGGCTGGAAAGGGATCTCAACAATCTGACGAGGCGCATCGAAAGACGAGTTGTGGACATGACTGAGTTAAGCATGCAGGGTTCTGAAGCATACAATATTATGAACTATGGCTTGGGTGGACACTACAATGTTCATTTCGATTACTTCGACAGAACGGTAAGTTTTCAGTTAAGACTCATGCAGTCGTTATTCAAATATAACGCCTCCAGATCGACTTAGAAGGAGCTGGCAATCGCATTGCAACTGTGCTGTTCTATGTATGTAAATTATTGCTTGGTACTTTTAAAGAGCAAAGCACTTATATCTATATTTTAATGGGCAGCTGTCTGATGTGGAGCAGGGAGGCGCCACAGTATTTCCAAATCTGAAACTGGCTGTCAATCCAGAGCGTGGAATGGCTCTCTTCTGGTATAATCTGCTGGACAATGGAACTGGCGACACGCGAACCCTTCATGGAGGCTGTCCAGTTCTTGTGGGCTCCAAGTGGGGTAATTATAAACCAGTGGTATAAGTCTTTTATTAACTAATCTGACATTTCCTTAATAGCAATGACCAAGTGGATACATGAACGTGCTCAGCTGTGTACTAGACCTTGTCTAAAAACAAATTTCTAATCAATAATTAAAGTTACTCTGAGAGCAAATCTGTTGTTTGTTGATGGAATTCATTTTGTTATACAAAATTTAATTAATTTAATTAATTAATTTGAATCATCAATCCCCTCCAGACCACTGTAGTGCAGCGGTGACTGTACAATCGGACCGAGCTGGCTGTGGCGGTAGCAAAAACCCACTTGGCTTGTGAAATCGTCTGGTGCCGCTTTGGCATTTACTTTGTTAGCTTCTCCAGTAGAAAGATTGGTCACTGAGCTTATTATCCTATTTTTTGTCTTTATATATATGTATGGTGCCGATGTAGAAAAAATAAAATTGAAATGAATTTAAAAAACAAAAAAAAAAAGTATTTTTGCTTGTTTGTTGGAGATGCACTTGTTGAAAGAGGATTTTCGGTTGGTGGCCATTATCTTTATTTTTTTAATTGTTTAAAACAAATTTTTTTCTTAGTCGATTTTATTTGCTTCCACTTGTGTCTTAGAATCTCCACAAAAAAAAAAACGACGAAAGCCCCAGTCGATGGGACTTGCAAACCAAAAACTTTCGGCAGGCTGAATCAGAGGGAAATTGACAATAAGAAAAATCGGAAGAAACTTAACTCTACTACTTTATTTCATAGAGGGCGTCGGCAAAAACTCGGATTGGTATACAAAAAACCAAAGCATAACTTTAGGCATAATACTCCAGTAAATTATACAAGCGTACTCCACACACAACAAAATTGTTTCTATAATTAAGATAAATTATAGATAGTTTTTTGAACATCATATCCCAAAAATATGAAATTGAGGTACAAATATTTATTGTAATTACAATGACTTGAATTTCAATTCAAACGTTTAATTTTTTAAAAACATTTTTAAAACTTGTGAACTGTTTTTAGTTCAGACTGAATAAATAACAAACAACCTTTTAAAAATATTGTTCAACTCTGCTGATCGATAGATCAGATACATCGAAAAGAGATCGCTTACCATTTTTGGAGAAACTATCAAATAAATCGGACCCATTTGCAAAACTCTATAATTATTACTACAGACCAAATATTCACCGATACAAGGAATACATAGTTAAGATAAAATAAAAGTAACAAAAGACCTTTTTACAGATTATTTGATTTGGATTTATGGTAATTTCATGGAATTTTTGACTATCGATAACTATTTCTTGATATGTAAACATGCATTGAATGTAAATGAATATTTTTTTCAACAGTAACAATAATAATTTTGTTAATTCAATTTTAATTTTAAATCATTTAGCTTGTTACTTTAATTTCAATTTTTTTAAATTTGATTATTATTTTCAATTCACACTGAGTAAATAAATAAAAGTTCTAGAAAATATTGCGAATGCGAATTTTATTGTTTTCAAATTTCAAGGTATTCAGTTAAAACAACTAAAAAAGCAAATGAACTAATGTCAACTTTGAGCAAATTAATTAAACCATTTTGTTTGATGTTGAGAATGCAAAAATATTCGTTATTAATTTCGGGTCTAACAACTAATGAGTTTTTCCAGTTGCACAAACAGTTGATCAAAAAACCATGTGGACTTATTCATGCAGAATATAATATGCTAATTAGGATCACACAATACGAACTAATTGGTTGACATAGGTGCGATAGTTGGGTAAACAAAACCCAAATTGAAATTTATATAAATAGCTCTTGATCTCCTCACAGAGATCAACATTCAACAGAATTCCACTTATATCGCAATGAAATTCCAAACGTTGATCTTAAGCTGTGCCGTCTTAGCCATTTGCTTGGTAAAATCCACCGAAGGACAGGACCCAGCTGAACCCGCGGCTGATCCCCCAGCTGATCCCGCGGCTGATCCCCCAGCTGATCCCGCGGCTGATCCCCCAGCTGATCCCGCGGCTGATCCCCCGGCAGCTGGGTCGTGGGGACATGGAGGAAAACGGTGGGGCGGGAGGCACAGAGGCGCACCGATCCTCATTAACTTTGGACTTATGAAAAATGTGAAAAATTCGAAATAAAAAATTCATTCAATTTGCCCAATTCCCATACGCAATACAGCAGACAAATTCAAGCGTCTTTTCTTTTTACTCAAATTTAATTTGAGAATATACATAAAATTCAGTTCAGTTAGGAACCGTTACAACATTGTTGAAGTTGTCAGAATTGAATACTTTGAAAACATAATACGAAATGGATTCACTCAAATTAATATTTTTCTGCTTTGCCATTGCCATAATCTTAACAAATGGAAATAAAACGTTGGAGGAAAGTCATTCGACATCAGTCTCGGGAATGGTGAAGCTGATCCTGCTGGAGGCCAAACTAATCGAAAATCTCAACAGATATACAGATGAACTAAAGAGGAAATTGGATATACTGAAAAGGTAAGTAGGAAAGTCTAACTTGATTTATTTGAAGCTATAACTATTAGTGTTTTCAGAGTCGTTCCACGATTGCGGGCCGAAAGCGATAAGGGCATGACTCAAAAGGAAGATTATATTTCGAATCCTTTGAATGCCTTTTCCCTGATACGCCGCATGCAAGAGGATTCAATTGATTGGAAGGTGTTCATTGAGCTCATTGTTCTGTGATTCAATGTGATTCTTTTCTTAGTGTACATGTGATTGTCATAATAATTCATAACCAAGCAACAAACAAGTGAAACTGGTGATCGCATTGCAACTGTGCTGTTCTATGTATGTAAATTATTGCTTGTTATTTGTAACGAGCAAATTACTATTATCTATATTTTAATTTGTAGTTGTCTGATGTGGAGCAGGGAGGCGCCACAGTATTTCCACATCTGAAACAAGCTGTCAGTCCAGAGCGTGGAATGGCTCTCTTCTGGTATAATCTGCTGGACAATGGAACTGGCGACACGCGAACCCTTCATGGAGGCTGTCCAGTTCTTGTGGGCTCCAAGTGGGGTAATTATTAACCAGTGGTATAAGTCTTTTATTAACTAATCTGACATTTCCTTAATAGCAATGACGAAGTGGGTACATGAACGTGCTCAGCTGTATACTAGACCTTGTCTAAAAACAAATTTCTAATCAGCTCAGCCCACAGATATGCACGAAGAAGGCAAGTATAATTTATTAAAATATTAAGTTTGAGTCTGTGATATATTACATATAATTATATAATATATACACACAATAAAATTGTTTCAATAATTATGATTAAATTAAAATAATTTTTTTTTTCATTCCCTAATCAAAACCGGTTTGAATAAAACTACTTAAAATATTAAATAGAAATTTACACTTTAACAGAGGAATAAGTATTTAGTGTAACTTCAATGAAAACACTTCCGAGTGTATATTATTAAATTACACAATAGTAATTTCATTAAATTCATTTTAATTTTATTAAATTATTCACTGTTAATTCTAACTGTAAATTGATGACTTGCATTTCAACTTAAACTCTTTATTTATTTAAAGCCTTTTAAAACTGTTTTTAGTTCAGACTGAATAACTAACTAGCAACCTTTTAAAATACTGCGAAATAAATAATGAATAAATAAATAAAGCAATGAAAATATCTCTGTAGAGTATTTCTCACTTGTTTATTTCTGCGAAATAAGTTTATTTGCAAATTTCAAGGTGTTCAGTTAAAATTGCGAAAACAGCAAATTAACTATTGCCAACCTTAAGCAAACAATTAAATTAAGCACATTTGTTATTGTCGAAAAGAAAACACGTATGCAGAAATATTCGCTGGTTTTTCGGGTATTTGCCGTCTAACAACTCATGAGTTCTGATATTAATTATTAGTTCAGTTGCCCAAATTGAAAACAGATGTTCAAAAATGCAAAATCAACATAATTCGAGCTAAATTATTGACATAGCTGCGATAGTTGGGAAACAAAACCCAAATTGAAATTTATATAAATAGCTCTTGATCTCCTCACAGAGATCAACATTCAACAGAATTCCACTTATATCGCAATGAAATTCCAAACGTTGATCTTAAGCTGTGCCGTCTTAGCCATTTGCTTGGTAAAGTCCACCGAAGGACAGGTGGATGATCCCCCGGCTGAACCCTCAACTGATTACCCATCTGATCCCGCAGCTGAAGACACAACTGTAGCCTCAGGAGGGGGGTCGTGGGGACATGGAGGAAAACGGTGGGGCAGGAGGCACAGAGGCGCACCTATCCTCATTAACTTTGGACTTATGAAAAATGTGAAAAATTCGAAATAAAAAATTCATTCAATTTGCCCAATTCCCATACGCAATACAGCAGACAAATTCAAGCGTCTTTTCTTTTACTCAAATTTAATTTGAGAATATACATAAAATTCAGGTCAGTTAGGAACCGTTACAACATTGTTGAAGTTGTCAGAATTGAATACTTTGGAAACGTAATACGAAATGGATTCACTCAAATTAATATTTTTCTGCTTTGCCATTGCCATAATCTTAACAAATGGAAATAAAACGTTGGAGGAAAGTCATTCGACATCAGTCTCGGGAATGGTGAAGCTGATCCTGCTGGAGGCCAAACTAATCGAAAATCTCAACAGATATACAGATGAACTAAAGAGAAAATTGGATATACTGAAAAGGTAAGTAGGAAAGTCTAACTTGATTTATTTGAAGCTATAACTATTAGTATTTTCAGAGTCGTTCCACGATTGCGGGCCGAAAGCGATAAGGGCATGACTCAAAAGGAAGATTATATTTCGAATCCTTTGAATGCCTTTTCCCTGATACGCCGCATGCAAGAGGATTGGATTGATTGGAAGGTGTTCATTGAGGAGCCCGTGGGTTGGTCGCACATCTTCTATCTAGCCCAGTACAAATCAGAGCTGCCGAGTCCGACTGATCTTAGGGAGGCTTGTGAGGCAATTCAACGCTTGAGCGATGTGTACAATTTGTCAATTGGAGACATGGTCAAGGGATTGCTCAACGGAAAGCAGTACGAGTGAGTTATATTAGTGACACACTCCTCAGAATAACCCATATTAATGCCACCAACAGATCAAGTCTAAATGCAATGGACACTTTTAGGATTGGCCAATTCCTGCATCAGCACAGAAAACCACATTTGGCCAGGCAATGGTTTGCCGAGACTGGCAAATGGCTAATTTCCAATCAGACAACTCCAACTCTATTGGGAGCTGATCCTGAGAGATTGATGTATTTCTTGGCCAGTGCATTTGCTAAAAATAGTGAGTGAATACCACTTCATTTTGTGCAGCTGTCTCATTTTTTGGCCGTATTTTAGAGTATTATTCGATTGCTGTTCCCATTTTGGATCATGCTCTGATGATGGGAAATCAAGCAATGAAAACCCAAGTATTCAATTTGAGATCTTACGTCCACAATATGATCAGAAATGAACCCAATTTAAAGCCTGTTGCCAAAGAGAATATCGCTTCATATTCTTTAGGTTGTCGAGGTCAATTTGTGCCACAATCAAATCTGCACTGCGAATATAAAATGAAGACTTCGCCGTTTCTACGACTGGCACCCCTCAAGATGGAAATTGTTCTGCTTAATCCATTTATAGTTGTGTTCCATGATGCATTGTCTCCCCAGGAAATCGATTATCTCCAGAATCTTGCCCGACCATTGCTGAAGCGGACAACTGTCCATGTGAATGGCAAATATGTTTCGAGAAGAGTGCGAACCTCGAAAGGAGCCTGGCTGGAAAGGGATCTCAACAATCTCACAAGGCGCATCGAAAGACGAGTTGTGGACATGACTGAGTTGAGCATGCAGGGCTCTGAGGCATACAATATTATGAACTATGGCTTGGGTGGACACTATGCGGCTCACTACGATTTCTTTAATACCACAAAGGTGAGTGTCTTTAGCAAAACGATCACACTGAAACTTAGAAAATCGCCTTGAAGACTAGAAAATATTCTTTCTAAAATGTAGATAAAAGTAATGAAATTTGAGCTGTTTTCTGTTTTTGTTGCAAATGTGACTCAAATGTTTGTAATGTAACAATCTGGCAACCCTCGTTTAGCTTATCCTAAGTTTTGCATTGTCCGTTCGTTCGCATGTACTCAAATATGAATCTCTCAATAGTTATGTACCCACTCCGTTTTAGACTGTCGAATGCGTCGCGTCATTAGACTAGTAAGAAGTGTGATTCCCCAATATCGTTATCTTGTTTGTATACGCTATGAAACTGTGCGCTCGGATCTAACAAATCCAACAGTTTTAGATGGAATTTTTCATATGAAACTATCAAGAATGTTCGTAAATTCTTAAAAATACGAATTTTTACTAATACTATATCCGAAACAACTTTGTTTGTTACACATCAGAATAACCAACCTGAATATTAGATATGATAATTAGAAATTTTATAAAAATGTTTTCTAAAATTATGGGAAAAAACCCTGGTTTTAGAAATATACTTTCTGATGCAATAAGGTTAGTTGGCGCCAAAGTATGACGAATTTCTAAAATTCAGTGTGATTTTTTTCTTAGTGTACATGTGAGTGTCATAATAATTAATAACCAAATTAATTCACTGCCAGCAACAAACAAGTGAAACTGGTGATCGCATTGCAACTGTGCTGTTCTATGTATGTAAATTATTGCTTGTTATTTGTAAAGAGCAAATCACTATTATCTATATTTTAATTTGTAGTTGTCTGATGTGGAGCAGGGAGGCGCCACAGTATTTCCAAATCTGAAACTGGCTGTCAGTCCAGAGCGTGGAATGGCTCTCTTCTGGTATAATCTGCTAGACAATGGAACTGGCGACACGCGAACCCTTCATGGAGGCTGTCCAGTTCTTGTGGGCTCCAAGTGGGGTAATTCCTCAAGCAACGAGCAATCAAAAACCCGTTAGTCACTTATCTAATCCGACTTTTCCCTTACAGTGATGACCCTCTGGATACATGAACGTGCTCAACTTTTTACTAGACCTTGTCTAAGCCGATGCGCTAATTGAATATAGTTGAAATCAACTATCAGGTGTGAATATACATATCGTTTATTAGGGATTTCGGCAACGCTCTTTTCCAACTTAGACTCCTGAGTGTCCCACACGTATGCAGGATCATAGACAAACAAATTTTCGACGTAATCACTTTACACACTTAACAAAAAACCTATACCCTTCCCCTCTTGCTACTAGTGGCTTAAATGCTTTTTAAAACGCCAACATGAAAAAAATAAAGTGCTGAGTGGTTGATAGTCGAAGCTTTCGCACTTTGGGCTTAATTTTTTTGTTTTTACTTCTTTTTTGTTGGGGACTAGGTAAAAAACACCCAAGCAACCGCAGTCGAACACAATTTTAGCATACTCCTAGGCGCCACAGACCAAAGTCCATAGCCCCCCAACACTCCACACCCTTCCCGTTCAGGCAGGCGTCTGGTGTCTGACACCGCGTACGTGATGTGCAACTTAATGTTTCAATTAGAGGTAAAGTGGCGCCCACGTTGGTAGCGTCTACACCTCCCTACCTCTCTCTCTCTCTCTCTACCCGCTTAGATTATCGTCCTTATCATCCTGTGTGTGCGAGTGTATGTGTGTGTGTGTATCAGTGTCAGCATCTCTATATCAGTCTGTGCACTTATCTGCTTTTAAAAGTTTTAATAATGAACTGACGCTTACCACCGAGAAACGTGTGCGTTGCTCACCAAATGAAGAACTGCACGTTCAAATCCCACACTCAGAAAAATATGAAAATAAATAAATAAATCTAAATACAATTTAGAATATTGCCGCAAAATAAAATTCTCCAAAAATTAAAAAAAATATTTAACAACAAAAATTCTTAAATTGGGACGCATTTCTAGAAAGATTAAGAATAGTGAAATTATCCCTGTATACTAGAAAAATGTTGTGGTTTTAAGAAATAATTTGTAAATATTCGAAAAAATACTTTAAATTAGAAAATCTTTCTTATGTTATTTTTAAATGTTTTCTATTACATAGGAAAACATTTCTAAACAGGACAAATTAAAAAATTCCTTTTAAATTGTGGGAAAAAAATAATAAAATTTAATCAATTCTGTGGTCCGATTTATAAAACAAATGTAAAACGCACTGAAAACTTAATCGTTTTTCCATTAGAAAGACAAAACCTAAAATTAATTTATTATTCTTTTATTCATTCTAAATCTCAGATCAATTATTTTTTCTAAGTGCAGTTAAGCACGCTGCTTGAGTTAGTTAGTTTTGTCTGCTGACTGGGCACTTTTGATAATTTGTTTACCATCCACTCGGCGCACCTTTGTGCAAAGTTATTTGCATAGAGGCAAACACTGGGGCAGGGCTATTTGGCCAGCCCTGGAAAGGTTCAAATTGAACTGGAGCAGTGCAGCGTGCATAATGCGTAGATTTAATTGAATTTTTGGGCTAAACTGAAACTGTGAACTCAAATAAAACTTTAGCCTTGACCACAAATGAGAATTTTTGGGCAAAAAGTTTTAGCGTGAAATGCAACTGCTCTAAAAGATTTCTTATACAAGTTTTGACAAAGCAGCAAACCAAATGGCCAGCGGCAACTAAAGTCCTTACAACCTTACAAGTAAAGGATAACCCTCTAACCCTAACCCCATCCCTGATTCTCCATACTTGCACACCCAACACCTTTAAGTAAAGAGCGACCACAGCTATAAATAAAAAATTGCCAACATATGCGAAATGTTAACTAGCTTAAACGGCTTTGCAGACATTCAAATATGCTACGTTTAGAGAATAATATCCGAATTCCACTCATCAGTCCAACATTTCGTACATCACATTCCTTACATTTGGCTCTAAGGAATAAGTTAATTAATTAAAATAGGAGAAAGGATTTTTCTACAATCAAATGTAATAAATAAGAAACAAGTTAAGAACCCTTCTAGTTTTTCATGAACTTACTCAAATTTATATTCAAAATATTATGATTAAGCATTAATTAAATTATAATTGTATTTTAAAAGGAGCGTTTAACATTCTTGACATATCTGTGATATTTTCATACTTTTATCACACGCCAAATTCGATAAATCATCACGAAAAAACACAAAAAACTTAAAAAAAAACAAAAGAGAAAATCTTAAGTGCAATTATGTAAAGAAAAAACTGATTATTAAAATCATATAGGCTTGCATCTCAGAAATATACTTTCTGAACAATAAATTCAGCTGACTTTGGCGACAAAAATATGGCGATTTTTTTTTTAAATTTCATTGCGATTTTTTTCTAATGATTGTAGCTCATCGCTTAGTCGTCTATGCCCCGGTCAAATGCAGATAGAACGTGTACCTAAAACGTATTTCATTTTGATTGTGTGCACTTTATGATGCGTCCTATACGCTCACCACCAACATGATTACATATGCCCAGACCAATAATTTTGCCTCAGCAAAAATGAAAAGAAAAAATTGGGGAAATAAAAATCAAACAAGGTTAAGAAATGTTGGTTGTTGTAAGGCAAACGTTGATTGTGGAAATCGAGCAAAATGTTTTATGCACAGTCTGAAAAAAGGGTTGCGCCTCGGTTGGTTTGTGGTCAATGAAGGAAATATGATTTGGATTTTGTTACTTTGATTACACACATTACATGCGAATGTTCCACACACAGCGCCCAGACGGTGGTTGTGGCCAAGTGGTGTGTGTGTGTGTATGTGTGTGTGCCGTGCCACAAACGTGTGTTAAATTTCAGATGGACATGGAAATATTAATGCAGTGGGAGTGAGACAAGCAAAAGGAGAGAGAGAGAGAGAGAGAGAGAGGGAGAGAGAGAGAGAGAGAGAGAGAGAAAGAGAGAGAGAGAACGCGGCCGTAAAGCATTTGATGTGCCTGTGTTCGTTGCAGGAAATTGAGTTTTTCATACACATCTATATATATAAATATATACATTTATATATCTACTATATATATGTTTATATATATTTATATGTGTGTAATGTAAATAATAGCCAGCAAAAAGCAGAAGAAATTTATGCACGCACTCAAGCGCACAAATTCGCTTGGCCCGTCGTCGTCGTCTTCGCTTCTTTTTCTTCTTCCTTCGCTTCATTTTTCTGCTTTCTTCGAAGCAGCAGCATCTCAGGGTCAGCTTGTGCTGATTTACTCAATGCAAAGGGCATTGTGATTATGTCACCAAAAGTGTAACGCATTTAAGTAGGGCTAGTCTTATACCCTAAAACCCATTCAAAATGGGAAATAGGCAGAACAAATCATTTGTGACGCCATGGATATATAAGTTAACATCCATCATAACAAATAACTAAACCCAACGCATTCAAATAAATAAGCCAACACTACGAATATCCAAAGTCAATGCACTCGAACGAATTCCATAAAACACGCGCGCCCCGTCAGCATATTTCACAGCTACAGCGCATGGACAAGCGCCCCGTCAGCAGATCCCACGGGAAGACCATCGTGGGACCCACAACGGGCAACTGACACCGTCGGCGACAAAACCGCAACGATCAGCAGAAGCAGCAGTCCGAGGTTAAGTTATGATAAGTTTCAGTTTATAAATTCAGTCTTAATAAAACATTCAAACAGAACAAATTGGTTTTTTTTATTAAAAACCTCGAGGACTCGTTTAATTGGCGCCCGAGCAGGGACCGGTACGGAAGTAAAAGTTATAGTGCGTTAGTGAAAGTGTTTTAACTACTGCGCAAATACGAACATAACTCCGCGAAACAGGACAGTGTCTAAAAGTGCAAGTTCTATCAGAAGCGCCTCAAGTAGCCGCAGATACGAACAAGACAGGTTGATCAGAAGCGCCTCAAGCAGCCGCAGATCTAAACCCAAAAAAGTTTCAAAAATACATTCGTACCGGTGCCACAATAACACCGCCGACAAACCCTGTAGTGTCCGTCCGCAGGGTACCGTGAGTGAAGTATCCGGAGGAACCCAAGTCACCCAGCTCGACTTGAAATCGTCGTGGGACAAAAAGGAGCAATTCTAAAGGATCATCGCGGGAGATTCGCCGGAATGCTGATCATATTGTAAGCATAGTGATTAAGAAAAATTTTAACGATTAAGAAAAAATAGAAAAACTAAAATAAAAAAAAATAAAAAAATAATAATAATAATAATAATAATAATTATAACTATAGAAAAAATAATTACGAAGAAAACCAAGAAAGAATAACGACATACAAATTAAGATCCAAAAAGAAAAAAACATAAATTAAGAAAGCAAAAGAAGTTTTTAAACAAAGAATATTGACAATTTTTACGAATCAAAGCAACCATAGATTAAGTAACAAGTTTTCGAAAAATCATTCACAACTAAATAACCTTCCAAAAATATCACCAATATAAAAATTCAAAACAATTTTTAAAAAAAAGTGGTCCGAATACTAATTCACCGTAATTCGTTAAAGACAACATCACAAGATGCAGTCAAACGAATTGTCCGAATCCCTAGCCAATTTGAAGCTGGGAGCAGCCAGTACCAGCTCCCAGAGAAATACCCAATCAGGCAACACAGTTTATACAAGCCAAAGCCTGAAAGATACTATCGTATCACTGGTAAAAGAAACTCTCCAGGGTGGCGACATAATAAGGCAAGCAATCAATACCGAAGGTAACGATTGTCTTAACGATATCCCATTCACCAGTCCGAGATCAGGGGAAGAGCGGGAAAAGGTGCCCGAAATAACGTGGTTGTTTTGAGATTTTTCCGGAGACCGAACCATATTCGGTTCTTGGAAAAAAACGTAGAAAGAATAATGACCATTTATAATGGCCAAGAAGAAACCTACAAATACTACTTAATAACTCTGTCAATCCGAAACAAAATAATAGGAGAAGCCGACGCTGTGCTCGAATCCTGTAACACTCCTATGAACTGGAAAGCAATTTCCAAGTGCCTTACAGAACATTACGCTGATAAAAGAGACTTAAAAACTCTCGAATACCAAATGTCCTCATCCTTAACCAAATAAGCGTACAAGAAGACGCACCAGAGGTAATTAGAGCTCTGACGAATAATTATCGAGATAAATCCTTAGATACGTTCGTGAGAGGTTTAAATGAAGATCTCCCTAGACTCTTAGCAAGAGAACCAAGAAGTTAGAAATGCCTTCTTACCCAAACCAAGGCAACAAATACCACCTCTACCGCCCAGAAATCATATTCCGTTACATAAATTGCCCCAAACCAATGTTTGTGCAATTGAGGAATTCCAACCCAAACCTATATCACACCCCCAAACCGAATATGAATCATCAGATGATCCAACAGCATAAAAAATACCCTCAACCATTCCGTGATCAATATACATTGCCGCCACAATCTTTCAACCTTAGACAGGGATACCAAGCGCCCCCGCGCCCTTTTTTCCAAAACCAGAGCCAAAACTTGTACCAATGGAGATAGATAACTCAATTATAACCAGAAACGTTAATTACATAAACAAGCCAAGGACCAATGATTTCGTTGGCAAACACCCCAGCAACGCACCCAGTGGTCAACCTCCTAAGATTCAACGATAGTTCCATATCTCAACCGGACAATCAGAAGGAGAGGACGAACTACATAACCCTTACGATATGAAGGACGAGGAACAAATTTATCTTGAAGCTGCCGAACCGGAATGTGGAATGTACTATGGATACCAACCAACAATGGTCGAAGCTTCCGACATTCATTTTTTAGATTAAATAG